AAATCTCCAGCATAGTGAAATGGAAACCCACAAACTGGGAAAAGATCTTAGTGAATTCCCCCTCAGACTAGGGATTTTTGTCTAAAACGTATAAAGAATTAAAAAAAAAAACCCTCAGATCCCCAAAATTTAAAGATCCAATCCAAAAATGGGCGTCTGAGATGAATACTCACTTCTCAGATGAAGAGATACCAATGGCAAATAAATACATGAAAAAATATTTTATCATCATTGGTCATTAGAGAAATGCAAATTAAAACCACACTGAAATTCCATCTCACTTCTGAAAGAATGGCTAGGATCAAGAAAAGCAACAACAACAAAAGCTGGAGATGCTGTGGGGGAAAAGGAACTCTCCTGCACTGTTGGTGGGAGTGTAGACTGGTACAAGCTTTGTGGAGGTCAGCCTGGAGATCTCTCAAAAATCTGGGATTGGAAGTCCCATTTGTTCCAGCTATTGCACTTCTAGGCATATTCCCCAAAGAACTGAATGCATCATATCACAGTGATACATGTGCACCTATGTTTATAGCAGCACAATTTGTAATCGCCAGATCTTGGAAACAACCCAAGTGTCCATCAACTGAGGAATGGATAAAGAGTTGTGGTATTTCTATTCAATGGAGTATTACTCAGCTATAAAGAAGGATCACATTGAGATGTTTATCAATAAATGGGCACAGCTTGAGACCATACTCATAAGTGAAATAAATCAGTCTTGCATGCGTGAATACTGAATAGTTTCCCTAATGTAAGTAATGATTCAAATATATAAAAGTATGTGGTAATCATGATTCCCCGTTAAGTGACCTTGAAGCCTTATAAAGTTTTCACTGATTAATTGGAATGGCTTTGTTCTAGGCTCCTAGATATTATTGCCTGTGAGGAAATAAACAGCTATTTTGAAGAAAATAAGTCATCATAATAGCTAGTGCTGTTTTACTATCATCTTGTTTTGAAGCCCCACCAAACTAGGGCTCTTCTGTCTCCATCAGTTTTATCATGATGTATCTTGCTGGATTTTATTATATGTGATAGTATAAACAAAAATTGTTATAGGCAAAGAGATTATATAGAAACCATTGTTTGTTTTCTGTTAGCTGGTTCTAAATACCCTACAATGCTTTCATCCACTGGAATGGTTTTACACTGACTTGATATGTTTGAAGCTATAGTATATGAAGTTATATTCAAGTATTTCAAGGAAAAAGACACTATGGTAACTACTATTAAGTCAGGTTATTTGGTGGTGAAGCACTAGCTTGCTGAAACTGTCATGCTTTGACCTGTATTGTTATGTTGTTATGTCCTCTTTTATCTCAATCTCTCCCTTATTCATTAAAAAATTATTTAGCTATTTTTTAAATCAAGGGGGAAATCAAAAAAATTAGCAGGATATATTATAGTAACCTTTTTGATTTCCTATTAACTTGATTTGAAGTCCTGTAATACTCCCACTATTGTTTTCACTGATTAGACTCTGTTCCGTTCTGTATGATAGTATCTAGTTTGAAGGTATAGGCAACTACTTTGAAGGCAATAAGATTCACTATGATGCCCATCCTGGTTTGACTATTATCTTCTTTTGAAGTTCTGTAATATTTACAAGGTTTAGGTTTTATTGGTCTTGTTCTCTCCTGTTTTGTTCAACTTTATAATACCTAATGAGATAGACAACTCTTTTTAAGGAAGCAAGAGTCATTATGGTAACCTTTGTTGTTAACCTTGTACCTGTATTTACATCATGTGCTATGTCTATCCTTGGTTTTGGCTGACAGCTTTGTTTTGCCATATTTGACTTTATTCTCTTCCAAAAGAAAAGTAATATGAATGAAGGAATAATAAAACCCAAAATGCGTAAATTTTATTGTAAAAAAGAGAGGAAAAAAAGTGCTCTAAAGTATATAACTGCAAGTGTGTTTAGGGGTGTTAAATAGCTGACCATATTAATGTTTTTGGTTGGATCATTGAACACAACTGTTTTCAGTCTCACTGTTTAAATGTCCACTTTGTATGCTTTGATACTGTGACTTGAGAAACTATCTCTAAGATGATAATGTGTAATCTATTAACTGTTGATTTGTTACTGGTTTTTTTTTTGTAGTTCTGTATTACTTGTACCCTTACACTGCTTTGTTTTGCTCTGATTTTTCTCTTTTTCCGTTTAAATAAAATTTTTAAAAAATGATGAAACACATATAAGGCAGCATCCTTAATATCATGAAAGAAAATTATTTAGAAATGAATACCATGACAAAAATTTAAGTTGACATTTTGTCTCACATTATGTAGATCTGGGCATTACTCATAACATTGGGAATGTTAAATTTTGCTGTAATATTTATCAATACACTTTTATAATTTATTATAAAATTTAAATATATTCTTTTATTTTCAAATCGTTCTCCAACTATGTATCCATGAGTTGGAGACCAGATAGCATGTGGTATATATACACAATGAATTCCTCTTCATCTGTTGAGATGATTATATAATTTCTGGCTTTGACTCTGTTGCTAAGGTATAGTACATTTATCAATTAGTTTGTGTTGAAGCGTCTTTGCACTTGGTCATGTTCTTTAATCTTCTAGGTGATTTTCTGATTTCTGTTTGTCAGTGCTTCATTAAGGAGTTTTGCATCTCTGTGCATTAGAGATATTGGCATGTTTTTCTCTTTTTTGGTTGGATCTTTTTCTGGTTTTTGGTATCATAGTATTACTTGCCTCTGCAAATACTTTAGGAAGCATTGATTCTCTTTCAATTTCATTAAAGTTCAAATGGTAATATTCTCTAAATTTCTTATAGAATTCGGCTGTGAAACCATCAGGTCCCTGGGTTTAACAAGTTAATAAATTTTTAATTATTCTTCAATTTCAGTGATTGACATTGGGTTACTCTAAGCTTTCATATATTCTTGATTCAGCATTGGTAATTCATGTTTCCAGGAATCAATCTATTTCTTCTATGTTTTTTATTTTATGCAAGTAAAGATTTTCAAAGTTATTGGTGATTTTCTGAATTTCCACATAATTGGTAGTGATTTCAGCCATTTGTCTCCTTATTGTATGAATTTGAGTTTTTAAATTATCTTTTCTTGATAAGGTTGAACAGGGTTTATAAATTTTGCCATTTGTTTCAATGAAAAATCTTTTCAATTCATTAATTTTTTGTATTATTTTCTTAGTTTCACATTTTTAAAAATTTTATTTTGAATGTAGTAAGACTACAACAGAACAAGACAGAACAAAGCCGATCAAGACAAGGCAGTGACTTTGGTACAGAATTTCGCAGCAGGATACTGGGATAGTAGTAATAGGTAGTATAGTATATCTCTTTATATTTACAGTAGTTCTACAATCAATTAGATATAGCAAAATCAAACCAATAACAGAACATATAAAACCAATCCAAGGAGAATATTAAATACAGCAAAACAATCATTATAAAAGGTAACCGTGAAAACAACCTCAGCCTTGAAACAGAAAAGAGAAGGAAAACCCCCATATTTGTAATATTGCCTATGGTTATCCTCCCAAGAGATGCTCTGACCTTTCTACCCAGTTGCTGATGGTGGAGGGGACAGATGATGATTCTCAGTCTGCCAGCTTATAAGCTCATAGGAACAGCTGAAGGACTTCTTCGGGCCAGTGCCAGGACCACTAGCTAAGAGGGAGGGCACTTTGTCTTCTTGTGTAGCTCCCTAGTCCCACCAGGGCCAGATCTCCAGTAGCCACTGGTTCTCCTCCCGACAAGTGCCAGGAGCACTTATCAAGAGGGTGAGCAAACTGCCTTCCTGTGCAGCCACCCACGTCCATCATGCCCTGATCTTCAGTAGCTGCTGGTTATCCTCATTTCACATTGTTAATTTCTGCTCAAATCCCTATAATTTTCCCCCTTGTATGGGTATTGTGCTTCACTTCTTCTTTTTCCCAAAGCTTCATGTGTAGCATTAGTTGTTTATTTATACAACTTCAGTTTTCCTAATGTGGGAATGCATTGCTATAAATTTCCCTCTTTGGATTGCTTTCTTTGCATCCCACAGGATTCCATAAGTGGTATTTGAATTTTCATTTGATTTTTAATTAGTGCTAAATTCCTTCTTTAAAGACATTAGAAGAGCCAGATCTGATTTAGTATCACTTTACTCTGCGGTCCTACTTTTCTTTTGTTGTTCTGTTGCCTTTGGTTCTATCCTCTTATACCTTATTGGATATTATTACGTGTGATAATATAAACAAATTTTCCATGGTTAATGAGATGATACAGTAGCCATTATTCATTCTCTGCTATTTGCTTCTGAAAGCCATGTAATGTTTTCATGCTCTAGAATGTTGTTATACTGTTTTCTTATGCTTGATACTATCATATATGAAGCTATGCTCAACTATTTCCAAGAAAGAGACACTATGGTTCTTACGTTAACTATGGGTTGTTTTGTGGTGAAATGCTGTGTTTCTGGCATTGTTCTGATCTGATCTGACTTGAATTGTCTTAATCTCTTTAAAATAATACATTTAAAAATACATAAATAATTTAAATTAAATATAATTGGTTTCCCCTCCAACACTACTTATATGGAGACACTTTCATGGTGAAACAATTAGGGCATGGTGGCCATGATGATAATGATAGGAATAATCATGTTCTACCATTGCTAGTAGGCATATTCTTAATGAATATTAATGGGTATCAGGCATTGTGCCAAGCAAGTGTGTGTGTTACCTCAATTTTATGCAAAAGAAAAGCTTGTAGGGTGAATGTCAGTTCCCAATCATTGTGATGAAGTGATGCAAACTCTGAGGACTTAAATGAGTTCCTGAGAACAGTGAAACATGAGTCAAAGAAAATACCTTATTTTTGAAATGATGAGATTAATTTTGCATGTCCCATGATTCAGACAACACAATTTTGAGAGCCAGGCCTCATGATTAAACAGAGATCCAAATAAAGCAAAATAATACGGTATTGTTAATACAGGTGACTTTAGAAGACAGAAAATATTTCTCCTCTCACAAAAAATATAATACTTTATTCAGGATGTGAAAGTTTAGTTATAATTTCCCAGGTGACAGAGAGGCTCAGAAGACATTATGGGACGGGACCAAGGGAGAGATGAGAGTTCCCCTGTAGGGAGACAAGAAACCATGGAGGCAGATTATATGTGAAAGGGTGAAGAAGGTTGTTGTGTGTTCATGAATCACTTTGAAGAGAAGAAGAAGGTGCTGCCATAGAAGGAGGTGAGCCAGATTTCCTTCCCTTTTCATGAACTGAGGACTCCTGATGGTGTTACTTGTTCTTGGGTGGGTACTTCTGCTGGCAGGATGGGGCAGGATGCACAGGAGGGCATTGCTGTTGTGGAGGTGGGCATGGCTCAGGACACTTTGGAGGTGGGCACGGCTCAGGGCACTTTGGAGTTATGACCACAGGAGGCAGCTGGCAGGGCTGCTTGCACTGCTGCTGTTGATAAGACATGTTTCTGGAGTCTCAGAATCTGAAAGGAATTATACAGCAATGTTCAGAAGAAGGAATTCATGTACTAAAAAGAAGAAAAACATGCAATACCAAGGCACATTGCTACTCCTCCTTAAGACTTTATGGATTCTCTCTTGCACTTTATCAACCTGCTTCCTCAGTCTTGGGGAAAACATTTTCTCACAAAGGGCAGTCACAAGTTCAAAAGTCCTGAGCATCTCACTCAATCCCTGTCATCTTTATCCCTTGAGAACTTTACTGGGCACATTGGAGAAAAGAGCAATAGCTACACAGAAAGAATTGAAGCATCTCATAGCAGATTAAGTCATACCCCTTTGAAAGGAACCCCAAATTGTATGGCAAAGAGAAAACTACTTCATTCAGTCTTTTAGTTCAAGTCCAGGCTTCTCCATTACACGAGAGTTCCATGTAGATATCAAGTTGTCCACCCAACAAAAGGAAATGAAGCCCATAATATTGTATCATTTTGCCTAGTCTTAAGTTTCCATCACTGAAGTAACATTCATCCCACAAACATAAAGTGTGCACACCACCTTGATGTCTCAGATTATATTCAACAAACAACTGAGGACAGCAAGAAACAGACCCACTCAAAATACCATACTCACCAGGTTCTGGAGAGCAGTTTGGGACTCTACTGCCAGAAAGATAGCAGCTGTGTACTGGAGGACCTCTTTATAGGGCTGTCTTCCCCACCAGAGGGGAAGTGGAAGTTCCAAGCCTTGGGCTGGCCCAGAAATTTCCTTACCAAAATGTAAATCCATCCATTACTGGCTGGCCAGGGAATTTGCAGAATAGGAAAACCTGCTCCAGGATCCCATCACTGGATTAAGTGCTTGTGAATCAGAACCCACCTGGGCAGTCTGTTTCATTTACCTGATGGCTGTGTGGGAATTTGGAGGTTTTTCCAACTGGTTCTCAAAGGATCTCTATCTTTCTTGGGACAGTAATGCCCTCCTACTTTTTGACATCTTTGATTCTCATGACCGTTTGATGTCTTTGTTGTGCTTAAAGTGATGGCTACATTATGGTACTTAAGTCCATTTTCATAATCTCTCTTCACAGTATGTAGGTCTGCTAGAGAAAGGAGAGATCTAAGATGACACTGTGGGCTGGTTCTCGTTCCATCTAATAAACCACATGTGACAGGGAAGGGCAGGTCTGCCCTGTGAGTTTGAGTCTTTTTCTATGAACAGAGGAAACAAACACTTGCCTCTCACAGAGGATAATAAGTTCATTGAACCAACTCTTGCAGCTACATATATATTAAATTTGCACCTGCACCACTTTTATTTATGGAAATCACCCCAGATTTGACATTTTTCTGTTTGTGTTTGCAGCTGTCCTCTCTCTGTCTTTATGTAAGGCACTTTTCCCCAAGGAAAGATTTTGATGTCAGATTGGGTCAGGACTGCTCAGTTCCATTTCCCTTTCTTCCTGCATGGAAGTGTGTATGAGCCCTTTTAGGTTTGTGTGTGTTTGTTTGCTTGTTTGCTTTTATATGAGTGTACTCCATAACCATCTTAAGGAAACAAGGAAAAGTGAACAAAAATCACAATTATTTATTCTCCACTTAATTCTTGAAGGGCATCCATGTGGTCCTCTGTGATGTTCTGTGAAGTGCAAAGCAAGATGGAGAAACTCAGATCATCTCCTGTGAACAAGTAAGGGCAGACATGGGAAACAGAGAGGATCAGACCATCAAATGACTGAAACCAGATGTAGAGTATGAAGATATCCTGTTGACATATTTTGGCTTACTCACACACTCTTTCCAAAGAGATTTAAATATGTAAAGATAGTTTTTGTAAGCAAACTCTGTCTACTCTGTTAGCTCCCAGCCTTCACCAAATGATGTTGTCCTCTCCTTCCCCACTTTTCTGTCTTAGCTGTCCATCTTGGCACATCTTGATCAATCAAGACTTATATTATCAATGCACTCAAGAACTTTTCTTTTACAACTCTTCATTCATTCATGAGAGTGATGAAAATTTGAGAGTCAAATATTTCATCGATGTGGTCTTGTCTAAATAATCAGACAGGCTCTACAAATATGATATTCTAATTGAAGAAGCAACATTTAAAATCTCTATGGCAGTCCGAATTTGTGCTCCAGGAATTACAAGAACAGCCCAGTGTCACACCTGATCAGTTGAGCAGGAGACACTCCCAAAACCATCATTGCTTCTGCCAGTAAGGAAGGGCTTTTCGTGGGATCACCTCTGGCCATCACCCAGCAAGGAAAGACAGAGCTACCTCTGCTGAGCATGCAGACATAAGCCATGTACACATGATGTCATCAGTAACGGCTTCCTATAGAATATTTTTCATGCCAGTGAGTAATGGGCAGTGTAAAGGAACTTTACTTAAATACATTCCTCAGTGCCTCTCACATTTCTGTGGCTGAAGGACAAACCTTTACAGACATATGTGATTTCTACTATCCAAATATTCAGGGTGATCCAACTAGAAAGAATTAAAAATGTGACATAACACAGTTTTGGTGAAACCTTTATACTCTGTTGAATATACCTATTCAAATGGACTGCATCATTGCATGGAAGGCATCAAAGTCCTAGCAGTCATAGTCATGTCACTGTTTCACCTGGTGCATTCAAAAATTCTCTTGCTCACATATTACCTCATTGAGGAGCTTTTAGAGATAAAGAATAATATCACACTGATGTTTCTTGAACTTTACACGAAAGATCTGAGATAGGAACAGAACATACTCACAATCATGAACCGTGTGTGGTTCTGTCTACCAATCTATCTTTCTATCTATCTATCTATCTATCTATCTATCTATCTATCATCGGAATGTATATCTACCTCTTATACTTATCAATCTATTTATGGTGACTGTACATATTGAATGAACTAAGTTTTATAATTTTTATGAGAGCAATAAAATTTCTTTCAATTCTGCTGCATCTATGTCCTAATTTTGAATAATTTTACTATGAATCATTACTATATGGAGAATGGCAAGAAAGATCAAGGTTTATTATTATTTTTGTATAATTCTTACCTCTTTAAATTTTATTTCTACAGACACAACAATTCCTACCTATCAACATTCTGTAGTGACATATAAGTGAAATTAATATAAGGTAACAGAATTTTAGCAGCACTTGTGAGATAGTTGGCAGTCATACAGTCCCTTGCCTTAATGTCCTCTGCTTTTATTCTCAAACTTAAGATTCACTCACCATCTTCTTTTCACAAACTTACTGAGTCGGAAAAATGGTGAAACACATATGAGGCAGCATCCTTAATATCGTGAAAGAAAATTATGTAGAAAGGAATACCATGACAAATAGTTAACTTGACATTTGATTCACATCATGTAGTTCTGGGCATTACTCATAGCATTGGGGATAATGTTAAATTTTGCTGTTATAGTTACCAATACATTTTTATAATTTATTATAACTTTTAAAGAATTTTCTTTTGCTTTCAAAACGTTCTCCACCTATGTGTCCATCAGTTGGAGACCAGACAGTATGTGGTATATATACACAATGGATTCCTCTTCATCTGTTGAGATGAATATACAGTTTTTGGCTTTGACTCTGTTGCTATGATATAGTACATTTATCGATTTGTTTGTGTAGATCCATCCTTGCATTTCTGGGATGAACCCCATTTGGTCATGTTCTGTAATCTTCTAGATGAGTTTCTGAATTCTCTTTGCTAGTATTTTATTAAGGATTTTTGGATCTTTGTTCATTAGAGATATTGGCATGTTTTTCTCTTTTTTGGTTAGATCTTTCTCTGGTTTTGGTATGATAATATTTCTTGCCTCCAGAAATGCATTAGGAAGCATTGACTCCCTTTCAGTTTCAATAAAGATTTGGAGAAGTCCAAATGTTAAATCTTTTCTAAATTTCTAATAGAATTCAGCTGTGAATCCATCAGGTCCAGGCTTTAATAAGTAAGTAAATTTTTAATTATTCTTCAGTTTCATTAATTGAGGTTGGGTTAGTCTAAATTTTATATATTCTTGATTCAGCATTGGTAATTCATGTTTCCAGGAATCCTTCTGTCTCCTCTGTGTTTTTTATTTTATGTAAGTAAAGATTTTCAAAGTAGGTATTGGTGATCTTCTGAATTTCCACAGAATCTGTAGTGATTTTACCATTTTCATTCCTTATTGTATGAATTTGAGTATTTTAATTATCTTTTCTTGATAAGGTTGAAAGTGGTGTATAAATTTTGGATTTGTTTCAAAGAAAAAAACTTTTCAATTCATTAATTCTTTGTTTTATTTTCTTAGTTTCACATTTTTTAAAATTTTATTTAGAATGTTGTAAAAGTACAGCAGAACAAGACAGAAAAAAGCCAATTAAGACAATGCAGTGACATTGGTACAGAACTTCACAACAGGATACTGGGATACTAGGAATAGGTAGTCTAGTATATCTCCTTATCTTCACAATAGTTCTCCAGTCAATTAGATATAGCAAAATCAAACCAATAACAGAACAGATAAAATCAATCCAAGGAGAATATTAAATAGAGCAAAACAATCATTATAAAACATAAGAGTGAAAACAATCTCAGCCTTCAAACAGAAAACAGAAGGAAAACTCCCATATTTGTAATATTGCATATGGTTATCCTCCCAAGAGATGCTCGACCTCTGTCACCAGTAGCTGGTGGGGGAGGAGACAGATGTTTTTTCTCACTCTGCCCACCTGTAGGCTCACAGGAACAGCTGATGGACTTCCTCCGGCCAGTGCCAGGGCCACTAGCTAAGAGGGTAGGCAAGTTGTCTTCTTGTGCAGCTACCTAGTACCACCAGGGCCAGATGTCCAGTAGCCGCTGGTTCTCCTCCCAGCCAGCGCCAGTGGCACTTATCAAGAGGGTGGCAAAATTGCCTTCTTGTGCAGACACCCAAGTACACCATGCCCTGATCCTCAATAGCGACTGTTTCCCCTCATTTCACTTTGATTATTTCTGCTCAGATCCTTATAATTTTGTCCCTTGTATGTGTTTTGGGCTTGACTACTTCTTTTTCTCAAAGCTTCATGTGTAGCATTATGTTTATTTGTACAACTTCAGTTTTCCTAATGTGGGAATACATTGCTATAAATTTCCCTCTTTGGATTGCTTCCTTTGCATCCCACAGGATTCCATAAGTGGTATTTGAATTTTCATTTGATTTTCAATTAGTGCCAAATTCCTTCTTTAAAGACATTAGAAGAGCCAGAGCTGATGTAGTATCACTTTACTCTGAGGTCCTACTATGCTTTTGTTTTGCTGTTGCCTTTGGTTATAGCCTGTCATATCTTACTGGATATTATTATGTGTGATAATATAAACAAATAATCCATGGAAAATGAGATAATATAGTAGCCATTGTTTATTCTTTGCTATTTGCTTCAGAAAGCCCTGTAATGCTTTCATTTTCTTGAATGGTGTTATACTGTTTTGTTATGCTTGATATAATCATATATGAAGCTTTGTTCCACTATTTCCAAGAAAGAGACACTATGGTTGTTAGTGTTAATTATGGTTTGTCTTGTGGTAACATGCTATGTTACTTGCATTGTTCTGATCTGATCTGCCTTGTTATATCTACTTTTGTCTTCATCTCTTAAAATAAAACATTTAAAAATAAATAAGCTAATTAAATTAAATATAATTTGTTTCCCCTCCAACACTACTTGTATAGAGACACTTTCTTGGTGAAACAATCGTGGGCATGGTGGCCATGATGATAAAGATAGGAATAAGGATGTTCTAATATTGTTAGTAGACATATTCTTCAGGAGTGTTAAGGGGTATCAGGCATTCTGCCAAGGAAGTATGTGTGTCATCTCCATTTTATGCAAAAGAAAACCTTGTAGTGTGAATGCCAGTTCCCAAGATTTTTTTTACGTTTTTTTTTTTTTAATTGGTACCAAGGATCCAACTCAAGACTGCTTGCGTGCAAGGCAGGCGCTTATGCCGCTGAGCTAAATTACCAGCCCCAAGTTAACAAGCATTGTGATAGAGTGATTGAAACTCTGAGGAGTTAAATGTGTTCCTGAGAACAGTGAGACACTAATCAAGGAAAATACCTTGACTTTGAAATGATGAGATTAACTTTGCCTGTGCCAAGTTTCACATAACACAATTTAGAGAGGCAGAACTTGTGATTAAAAAAAGATACACAATAAAGCAAACTGATATGATATTGCTAGTACAGCCGAACGTGAAGAAACAAAATATTTCTCCTATCACAAATAATTACGGTACTTTATTCTGGATGTGAAAGTTTAGTTATAATTTCTCAGGTGATAGAAATCCCTGCCCAAGTGACAGAGAGGCTCAGAAAACATCATGGGATGGGAACAAGGGAGAGATGAGAGTTCCTCTGGCTGGGAGAGAGGAATCCGTGGAGGCAGATTACAGGTGGAAGGATGAAGAAGGCCCTTCGGTGCTCCTGAAACACTTTGAGGAGAAGAAGAAGGTACTGCCATAGAAGGAGGTGAATCAGATTTCCTTCCCTTTTCATGACCTGAGGACTACGGATGGTGTTACTTGTTCTTGGGTGGGTACTTCTGCTGGCAGGGTGGGGCAGGATGCACAGGAGGGCATTGCTGTTGTGGAGGTGGGCATGGCTCAGGACACTTTGGAGGTGGGCATGGCTCTGGGCATTTTGGAGGTGGGCATGGCTCAGGGCACTTTGGAGTTATGACCACAGGAGGCGGCTGGCAGGGCTGCTTGCACTGCTGCTGTTGATAAGACATGTTTCTGGAGTCTCAGAATCTGAAAGGAATTATATGGCAATGTGCAGAAGAAGGAATTCATGCACTGAAAAGAAGAGAAACTCGCAATACCAAGGCACATTGCTACTCATGCTTACAATATTCCCTTCTTAAGACTTTTTGGATTCTCTCTTGCACTTTATCAACCTGCTTCCTCAGTCTTGGGGAAAACATTTTCTCACAAAAGGCAGTCACAAGTTCAAAGGTCCTGAGCATCTCACTCAATCCCTCTCATCATTATCCCCTGAGAACGTCACTGGGCACATTAGAGAACAGAGCAATAGCTACACAGAAAGAACTGAAGCATCTCACAGCACATTAAGTCATACCCCTTTGAAAGGAACCCCAAATTGTATAGCAAAGGGAAAACTACTTCATTCAGTCTTTTATTTCAAGTCCAGGCTTCTCCATTACACGAGAGTTCCATGTAGATATCCAGTTATCCACCCAACATAAGGAAAAGAAGCTGATAATATTGTACCATGTTACCTAGTCTTAAGTTTCCATCACTGAAGTAACATCCATCATATAATCATAAAGTGTGCACACCTGCCTTGCTGTCTCAGATTATATTCAACAAACAACTGAGGACATCAAGAAACAGACCCCCTCCAAATACCAGACTCACCGGTTTCTGGAGAGCAGTTTGGGACTCTACTGCCAGAAGGATAGCAGCTGTGTGCTGGAGGACCTCTTTATAGGGCTTTCTTCCCCACCCAAGGGGAAGTGGAAAGTCCAAGCCATGGGCTGGGCCAGACATTTCCTAAGCTAAATGCAAATCCATCCATAACTGGCTTGACAGGTACTTTGCAAAGTAGTAAAAACCTGCTTCCAGGATGCCATCACTGCATTAAGTGCTTGTGAATCAGAGTCCACCTGAGCAGTCTGTTTCATTTACCTGATGGCTGTGTGGGAATTTGGAGGTTTTTCCAACCTGTTCTCAAAGGCTCTCTATGTTTCTTTGAACAATAATCCCCTCCTACTTTTTGACATCTTTGAATTTAAAAACTGTTTGATGTCTTGGTCACTTACATTGATGGCTACATTATGGTACTTAAGTCCATTTTCATATTCTCTCTTCACTGTACATAGTTCTGGTAGAGAAAAGGAGAAATCTAAAATGACACTGTGGGCTGGTTCTAGTTCCATCTCTAAAAAACCATGTGTCACAGGGCAGGGCCGGTCAGCCTTGTGAGTTTGAGTCTTTTTCTATGAACAGAGGTAACAAACAACTTCCTCTCACAGTGGGTACTATGTTCACTGGGCCACCTCTTGCCACTGCATAAAACTTAAATTTCCACCTCCATCTCTTTTATTCATGCAAATCACCCCAGATTTGACATTTATCTGTGTGTGTTTGCAGCTGTCCTCTGTCTGTCTTCATGTAAAAGCACTTTTCTCCTAGGAAAGATTTTGATGACAGAGCGGATCTGAAATGCTATGTGCCATTTTCTTTAATTCCTGCATGGGTGTGTATAGGAGCCCTTATAGGTTTGTGTTTGTGTTTGTTTGTTTGTTTGTTTGCATTTAAGTAAGTGTACTCAATCATCACCTTGAGGAAACATGGAAAATTGATCAAAAATCAGAATTGTTTATTGTCAACTTAATTCTTGAAGGGCATCCATGTGGTCCTCTGTGATGTTCTCTGTATTGCAGAGCAAGATGGAGACACTCAGATCATCTCCTGTGAAGGCAGGACAGACATGGAAGTCCAAGTCAGGGCAGACCTGGAAATGGAGAAGTTCAGACCATCAAATATCTGAAACCAGATGTAGACATATGAAGATACCCTGATGACTATTTTGGCTTACTCACATGCTCTTTCCAAAGAAGTTTAAGTATATAAAGACAGTTTCTTTAAGCAGTCTTTGTCTACTCTGTCAGCTCCCAGCCTTCTCCAAATCCTGCTGTCCTCTGTCTACCCACTTGACTGTCTTAGCTCCCCATCTTAGCACATCTTGTTTAATCAAGACTTATGTTATCAACGCATTCAAGAACTTTTCTTTTACAACTCTTCATTCACTCATGAGAATGATGAAAAATTGAGAGTGAAAAGTTTCAAAGATGTCTTGTCTAAATAATCTGATAGGCTCTACAATTGTGGTATTCTAATTGAAGAAGGAACATTCAAAATCTCTATTAACAGTCAGTATCTGTGCTCCAGGAACTACAAGACCATTGAGTCAGCCTGGTGTCACGCCTGCTCAGTTGAGCAGGAGTCACTCCCAGAACCATCATTGCTCTTGCCAGTAAGGAAGTGCTTTTGGTGGAGATCTACTCAATGACACCACAGGGAGAGACAGAGCTACAACTGCAGCAACCTGAGGCAAGCCTTGCACACATGATGTCATCAGTGCCAGTTCTTATGGAATATTATTCATGCCAGTGAGTAATGGGCAGTGTAAAGAAACCTTACTGAAATACATTCCTCAGTGCCTCTGACATTTCTGTGGCGGAAGGACAAACTTTTACACACATATGTGATTTCCGCTATCCAAATATCAGGGTGATCCATCTAGAAAGAGTTAAAAATGTGACATAACACAGTTTTGGTAACACCTTCATACTCTGTTGGATATATCTATTCAATGGACTGCATCACTGCATGGAAGGCATCAGTGTCCTAGGAGTCATACTCATGTCACAGTTTCACGAGGCATATTCAAACATTGAGGTATTCACAGATTAGCTCGATTAGTAGTTTCTGGAGATAAAGGGTAGTATTGAAGTGACATTTTCTAAACTTACCTGGAAGATCTGTGACAGGAACACAGCATACTCAAAGATTACATCTACACACACACACACACACACACACACACACACACACACACACCATCATGAGCCATGTATGTCTATCAGTCTACCTACCTATTTACCTATCTATCTGAGTGTATATCTAGCTATATATACACATATCAATCTATTTATGGCTACTGTACATAATGAGTGAGCTAAGTTTTATAATCTCTATGAGAGTAATTGTGTTTGTTTCAATTCTGTTATTTCTCTGTCCTAATTTGTGAATAGTTTTACTATGAATCATTACTATATGGAGAAGGATAGAAAGAACAAGTTTATTATTATTTTTGTCTAATTCTTATTTCTTTTAAATTTTACTGCTACAGACACAAGAATCCCTAACTATCAACATTCTGTAGTTATATTATGAGTGAAATTAATGTTAGGTAACAGAATTTTGGCAGCATTTCTTAGATAGTTGGCAGTCATACACTTCCTTACCTTACTGCCCTCTGCTTTTATTCCCAAACTTAACACTCACTTTCCTTCATCTGTTCCAAACTTACTGAGTCAGAAAAATGATGAAACACATATAAGGCAGCATCCTAAATATCATGAAAGAAAATTATTTAGAAATGAATACCATGACAAATATTTATGTTGACATTTTGATTCACATCCTGTCGATCTGGGCATTACTCATTACTCTGGGCTGCATGTTAAATTTTGCTCTTTTAGTTACCAATACGTTTTTATAATTTATTATAACATTTTAATATGTTCCTTTGTTTTCAAAACGTTCTCCCCCTATGTGTCCATCAGCTGGAGACCAGATAGTATGTGGTATATATCCAAAATGGAATCCTCTTCATCTGTTGAAACGAATATACAGTTTTTGGCTTTGACTCTGTTGCTATGGTGTAGTGCAGTTATTGACATTTATGTGTTGAACCATAGTTGCATTTCTGGCATGAATCCCTCTTGGTCATGTGCTCCAAACTTCTAGATGATATTCTGATTTCTGCTTGCTAGCATTTTATAAAGGATGTTTGCCTCTCGGTGCATTAGACATATTGGCATGTTTTTCTCTTTTTGGTTGGATCTTTCTCTGGTTTTGTTATCATTGTATTACTTGCATCCAGAAATGCTTTAGAAAGCATTTATTCTCTTTCAATTTCATTAAAGATTTGGAGAATACCAATTGTTAAATATTTTCCAAATTTCTTATAGAATTCAGCTGTGAATCTATCATATCCCAGGCTTTAACAAGTCAGTAAGTTTTTAATTATTCTTTAATTTCATTAATTGACATTGTGTTGCTCTAAGCTTTTATATATCCTTGATTCAGCATTGGTAATTCAGGTTTCCAGAAATCCATCTGTTTCTTCCATGCTTTTTATTTTATGCAACTAAAAATTTTCAAAATAGGTATTGGTGATCTTCTGAATTTCCACAGAATCTGTAGTGATTTCACCCTTTTCATTCCTTATTATATGAATTTGTTTTTTAATTATCTTTTCTTGATAAAGTTGAATGTGGTTTATAAATTTTGGCTTTTGTTTCAAAAATAACTTTTCAATTCATTAATTATTTGTACTATTTTCTTAGTTTCACATTTTTTAAAATTTTATTTAGAATGTCGTAAAAGTACAATAGAACAAGACAGAAAAAAGCCAATGAGACAATGCAGTGACACTGGTACAAAACTTCACAGCATGTTACTGGGATAATAGTAATAGGTAGTCTCCTATACCTCCTAATCTTCACAATAGTTCTCCAGTCTATAGATATAGCAAAATCCAACCAGTAACACAACATATAAAATCAATGCAAGGAGAATATTAAATACAGCAAAACAATCATTACATAACATAACTGAAAATAACATCGGCCTTCAAACAGAAAACAGAAGGAGAAACCCCATACTCACAATATTGCATTTGGTTCCTCCCAAGAGATGCTCGACCTTTGTCCCCAGTCGCTGATGCGGGACAGGACAGATGTTTGATTCTCACTCTGCCTGCCTGTAGGCTCACCTGAACTGCTGATGGACTTGTTCAGTCAGTGCCAGGTTCGCTAGCTAAGAGCGTGGGCAAGTTGCCTTCTTGTGCAGCTGCCTAGTCCTGCCCTGGCCAGATCTCCAGTAGCCACTGTTTCTCCTCGCAGCCAGCACCAGGGGCACTTACCAAGAGGGTGGGCAAATTGTCTTCGTGTGCAGCCAGCCAAGTCCCACCATGCCCTGATCTTCAGTAGCTGCTTGTTCTCCTCATCTTACATTATTAATTTCTGCTCGGATCGTTATAATTTTCTGTCTTGTGTAGGTTTGGGGTTTCACTTCTTCTTTTTCTCAAAGCTTCATGTGTAGCATTAGTTGTTTATTTATACAACTTCAGTTTTCCTAATGTGGGAATGCATTGCTATAAATTTCCCTCTTTGGACTGCTTTCTTTTCATCCCCCAGGATTCCATAAGTGGTAATTGAATTTTCATTTGATTTTTAACTAGTGCTGAATGCCTTCTTTAAAGACAGTAGGAAAGCCAGAGCTGATTTAGTATCACTTTACTGTGAGGTCTTACTATGCTTTTTTTTTTTTTTTTTTTTCTGTTGCCTTTGGTTCTAACCTGTTATATCTTATTGGGTATTATTATGTGTGATTAACAAATTTTCCATGAAAAATGACATAATATAATAGCCATTGGTTATTCTATGCTATTTGCTTCTGAAAGCGCTGTAATGCTTTCATGCTCTTGAATGGTTGTATAGTGGATTGTTTTGCTTGATACTATCATATATGAAACCATGCTCAACTATTTCAAAGAAAGACACTATGGTTGTTAGTGTCAATTATGGGTTTTCTTGTGGTAAAATGCTGTGTTCTTGCATTGTTTTGATCTGATCTGCCTTGCTTTGCCCTCTTTTGTCTTAATCTCTATAAAATGAAACATTTAAAAATAAATAAAATAAATTAAATATAATATGTTTCCCCTCCAACACTACATATATAGAGACACTTTCTTGGTGAAACAATTATAGGCATGGTGGCGCTGATCATAATGATAGGAATAATCGTGTTCTACTATCGGTAGTAAGCGTATTTTTCATGAGTTTTAAGGGGTATCAGGCATTGTGCCAAGCAAGGATGTGGGTTACTTCAATTTTATGCAAAAGAAAACATTGAAGTGTGAATGTCACTTCCCAAGCATTGTGATAGTGTGAATGAAACTCTGAGGAGTTAAATGTGTTCCTGAGAACAGTGAGCAATTAATCAAGGAAAATACCTTCACTTTGAAATAATGAGATCAACTTTGTCTGTGCCAAGATTCAGACATCACAATTATGAGAGGCAGACCTCGTCATTAAACAAAGATACAAATAAGCCAAATGATATAGCATTGCTAACACAGCTGAGTCTGAAGAAAGAAAAGTATTTCTCCAATCACAAAACATACAGTACTTTATTTAGCATGTAAAAGTTATTTATAATTTCACAGGTGATAGAAATCCCTGCCCAGGTTTCAGGGAGGCTCAGAAGACATCATGGGATGGGACCAAGGGTGAGATGCGAGTTCCTCTGGCTGGGAGAGAGGAATCCTTGGAAGTAGATTACAGCTGAAAGGATAAAACAGTCTCTTCTGTGCTCACGAAACACTTTGAAGAGAAGAAGGTGCTGCCATAAAGGGGGTGAGCCAGAGTTCCTTCCCTTTTCATGACCTGAGGACTGCTGATGTTGTTACTTGTTCTTGGGTGGGTACTTCTGCTGGCAGGGTGGGGCAGGATGCACAGGAGGACATTGCTGTTGTGGAGGTGGGCATGGCTCAGGACACTTTGGAGGTGGGCATCGCTCAGGACACTTTGGAGGTGGGCATGGCTCTGGGCATTTTGGAAGTGGGCATGGCTCAGGGCACTTTGGAGTTATGACCACAGGAGGCGGCTGGCAGGGCTGCTTGCACTGCTGCTGTTGATAAGACATGTTTCTGGAGTCTCAGAATCTGAAAGGAATTATATGGCAATGTGCAGAAGAAGGAATTCATGCACTGAAAAGAAGAGAAACTCGCTATACCAAGGCACATTGCTACTCATGCTTACAATATTCCCTTCTTAAGACTTTTTGGATTCTCTCTTGCACTTTATCAACCTGCTTCCTCAGTCTTGGGGAAAACATTTTCTCACAAAAGGCAGTCACAAGTTCAAAGGTCCTGAGCATCTCACTCAATCCCTCTCATCATTATCCCCTGAGAACGTCACTGGGCACATTAGAGAACAGAGCAATAGCTACACATAAAGAATTGAAGCATCTCACAGCAGATTAAGTCATACCGCTTTGATAGTAACCCCAAATTGTGTGGCAAAGGGAAAACTACTTCATTCAGTCTTTTATTTCAAGTCCAGGCTTCTCCATTACACGAGAGTTCCATGTAGATATCCAGTTATCCACCCAACATAAGGAAAAGAAGCTGATAATATTGTACCATGTTACCTAGTCTTAAGTTTCTATCAGTGAAGTAACATCCATCATATAATCATAAAGTGTGCACACCCGCCTTGTTGTCTCAGATTATATTCAACAAACATTGAGGATATCAAGAAACAGACCCCCTCCAAATACCAGACTCACCGGTTTCTGGAGAGCAGTTTGGGACTCTACTGCCAGAAGGATAGCAGCTGTGTGCTGGAGGACCTCTTTATAGGGCTTTCTTCCCCACCCAAGGGGAAGTGGAAGTTCCAAGCCATGGGCTGGGCCAGACATTTCCTAAGCTAAATGCAAATCCATCCATAACTGGCTTGACAGGTACTTTGCAAAGTAGTAAAAACCTGCTCCAGAAACCCATCACTGCATTAAGTGCTTGTGAATCAGAACCCACCTGAGCAGTCTGTTTCATTTACCTGATGGCTGTGTGGGAATTTGGAGGTTTTTCCGACCTGTTCTGAAAGGCTCTCTGTCTTTCTTTGAACAATAATCCCCTCCTACTTTTTGACATCTTTGAATTTAAAAACTGTTTGATGTCTTGGTCACTTAAATTGATGGCTACATTACGGTACTTAAGGCCATTTTCATATTCTCTCTTCACTGTACATAGTTCTGGTAGAGAAAAGGAGAAATCTAAAATGACACTGTGGGCTGGTTCTAGTTCCATCTCTAAAAAACCTTGTGTCACAGGGCAGGGCCGGTCTGCCTTGTGAGTTTGAGTCTTTTTCTGTGAACAGAGGTAACAAACAACTTCCTCTCACTGTGGGTAATATGTTCATTTAGCCACCTCTTGGCACTGCATAAGATTTAAATTTGCACCTCCATCACTTTTATTCATGCAAAACACCCCAGATTTGACATTTATCTGTGTGTCTTAGCAGCTGTCCTCTCTCTCTCTTCATGTAAAGCACTTTTCTCTGAGGAAAGATTTTGATGACAGAGTGGTTCTGAAATGTTATGTGTCATTTTCTTTATACATGTTCTTTTCAGTACATGAATTCCTGCATGGAATTCAGTAGGGTACATTTCCTGCATGGTGTGTATAGGAGTCCTTATAGATTTGTGTTTGTGTGTGTTTGTTTGTTTGCTTTTAAATAAGTGTACTCAATCATCACCTTGAGGGAACATGGAAAATTGATCAAAAATCAGAAATGTTTATTGTCAACTTAATTCTTGAAGGG